TGTCAAGGAAGTCAAAGCCCTGTGTCTGAATCTGGTCGTGCAGTATCTGGCGTCCGGAGTCTTTCGCCATATTGAAGCGGATCGTGTTGCACCAGGCGAGCACGCCCGCCTCTCCTGGCCTTGAGCCGTCCATCTTGATGTCTGTGTTGAGAGCCTTGAGGGGGTGGGGTTGGGGGCGTTGGAGGGGAGGGCCAAGGGGCCAGCTGTGGCTCGGGGAACCGCGACAGACTCGGTGGTTCACTCTACGCGTCCGTCATGTGACCCCAACGCGCGAACAACGTCACGCGTGGCCGTGGCTCTGGCGTGCAGGACGGCCTTGGCCACGGCTGGCTTGACTTCAATCTCCCACATCGCCGCGGTGCTTCACATGGAATGGAATCTGCCCAAAAACTAGCTGACCTCTCATGACATAGCCGACGATCCCAGAATGCTCTGGACCATCGCGCAGTGATCCCGCAGGAGGAACATCGCGCTCATACATGCTCAATCTGGCTAGAATATCACGGAGACCGCCCTCCTGCCGCTGGCCAGGAGCCCGGTATCGGCATAGGTCCACACAATATCACTGCATCTCTATGTCGTCAGCTAGGCACCGGACTGCACCGGAGGACACTCGCGTACGGCACAAGAACGCGTGGTGCGCGGTGCCTCGCAATCATCACCAAATCGTCTACAAGGACGTGAGACGGACGCATCCCTCAAAGGCAGTCCGATACCCCCGCACCGTATGACACCGGTAATCCATCTTACCACCTGGAATATATGACCTGCTGACAGGCCCTATCGGTTCAGTGCACTAGACCTAGCTTGTTCGGCCCACTGGCTAGTGTCCCTATCCCCGTATGCAGTACCCTGCTAAGACGTACGCTGCGGCCCGACACAAAAGCGCGATAGTTCCTTGGTGGCTTCATTACAGCCGTAGCCCACGCTCTCTTCGGCCATCGTGAAGATGTTTCCGGACCGCCGATTTGAATTCCATGGGCATAGATAAATCGTGGTGAGGTTGGCACCATGACCCAAAGCCCCTGCCTCAATGTCCTACGTGCCTCTCCTTCCCGCCTACATAGGCGCAGCGGTTCTCTGTATCCTCGCTCTTCGGACGTTTGTAAGAGCTAGACATCACACTCGCTCTCGCCCTCTACCGCCGGGTCCCAAAGGTTATCCCATCCTCGGGAATGCCCTGGATATCCCGCTTTCGAAACAGTGGCTCACGTTTCAACGATGGGCGAAAGAATACGGTGCGTGCCACATTTGTGCACAGAATGCTGTCCTGCTCAACTACGCTCTTCCAGGTGATATCCTGCATATCAGTCTCTTGGGCCAGCCAGTCATCATACTGAGCAGCGTCAAGACGGCTCGCGATCTCCTCGACAAACGGTCTGCCAAGTATTCTGACCGCATCAGATCGACAGTCGTCGGTTTGTGAGTATATGATCGACTCATACCGCGTCGACGGCACTGACGGCAAAGCGGGTAGGATTGGCTGGGACTGGAATGTGGCACTGATGGGCTATGGGCCTCAATGGCGGCAGACCAGACGCGCATTCCATGAACATTTTCATCAGGGCGCTGTGGGAGCATACCAGCAGAGCCAGCTCTCCGGTGCCCGTGATCTCCTTGCGCGCCTGCTCGCCCGTCCCGACAACTTCGTGCATGACCTTCGCTAGTGAGTGCCCAAGAACGCCTGAGTAAGCCTCGACGCCCGCTGACCGTGGTGGCCAGTGTACTCGGGGGCACCATTCTAGAGGTATCTTATGGCATCCGGCCAAAGAAGAACGATGACGAATACATCGCCATCGGCGAACGCGCCGTAGAAGGCCCCGCCAAGGCCCTTGTTTTGGGCGCACTTTGGGTCGAGTTTCTCCCTATCCTGCGTTTTGTGCCGAGCTGGTTCCCTGGGGCCTCGTACCAGAAGAAGGCCGCCATATGGCGAGAGGAAGCGACGGCCCTCAAGGAAGAGCCGTACAAGAAGGCCATCGCGGACTACGTAAGTGGCATGGACTAACCCCTGTCAAGCCTCTGGTTCTGATCGGCGTTGCGTGTAAATTCTGGCAGCAATGCGGTACCGGGACATGGTCTCTTGCCAGTGAGGTCCTGCACCGTGACTATCAGGTGGGCGACAGCTTGTCTGCCGGTACCGAGGAGCTGGCAAAGAATGTGGCGGCCGTCACGTATGGAGGTGGGTCCACCCCATTGACAGCCCGTGAGTACCAAACCTAACCTCACACCGTCCCTATTCCCGCAACAGCCGGAGCGGACACCGTGAGTGTCGTTGCCTGGTGTATTCGGCAAGGGATACAAATACTGATGTCGTCCAGAGCTTCTCCACCCTGCAGACGTTTTTCCTCGCGATGGCGCTGTACCCCGAGGTGCAGCGCAAGGCACAAGCGGAACTCGAGGCCGTGATAGGGCCTGACCGCCTGCCGGAATTTGCGGACCAGAAATCGCTGCCGTACATCCATGCGATTGTGAAGGAGTGTCTCCGGTGGCAGAACGTGTTCCCGCTTGGCCTTCCGCACCGTCTCATGGAGGACGACGAATATAACGGGTACCTCATTCCCAAGGGCTCTATCGTGCTCGGCAACCTATGGTGAGTTGCATCTTTACGTCCCATTCCTCTATCACATGGTAGCAATAAATGTTTAACGCCGCACCTGTCTAGGGCGATCTCCCACGACCCACAGACCTACCCGGAGCCCGATACGTTCAATCCTGACCGCTACTTCAAGAACGGCGCCGTTGATCCGAGCGTGCTTGACCCCGCTGACTACGTCTTCGGCTTTGGGAGGAGGTAACGTGTCCCCTGCCTCCGAATGTATCACCTTGATTTGAGTGACCGATTGGCCCAACCGTAGGGAGTGTCCAGGCCGCCATTTTGCGGTTGCTTCGATCTACATTACTGCGGCATCCGTCCTCCAGGTCTTCAACATTACTCATAAGCTGGACGCCAACGGAAGGCCGGTGGAGATCAAACCAGACATGGTCTCCGGTGTGGTAACGTACGTATGGCTTCATCACATCGATGCGTTATGGAACATTTACATGATTCGGCCCGACCAGCTACCCTTCGAAGTTTGAGTGCGAAATCAAGCCCCGATCTCCGGAAGCTATGGGACTTATCGGACTAGGCGTGCTTGACTGAAAATGCTGCGCTGGCCCTGAACGTCACTATACCCGCACAAGCCAGCCCGGAGATCCATGCTGACATTTTGTAACCCCTCACGGATTGTACACCGTTGTATCTCGACATGTGTGTTGTAACTGGCACTGAACTTGGAATGACGAATTGACCGAGCTCATTATACGGGGCCCACCCACTATCCTGTTAGAGGACGGTGGTTCCAGAGGACTTGAGATGTGCGGCACTGGAGCGGGTAGCGCCATATACTGCCACGCCTCCCCCTGTAGCGGTGATTGCTGATGCCGAACAGACCGGTCTGAGCGAGTAACCGCCACATGTCCGCGTCAGGCAGGAATTACTAGATTATATGGTACTATTTGAGGTCAATGACTAGAGCTAGTTGTATATGTGGTACACTTACGCCGTACATCAATCCCTTAGAACACGGCAGCAAGTCATGCGGACCGGTTCTTCGCCTTCCACCCAATGTTGAGCTCCCGGTAGCATTTGGGGCACAGGTTATGGGCCAGTTTTGGTGAGCCGCAGGCCTCGCAGTGTACCAAGTCTTCGGAGAATCCTCAGTCATGGCTCTGGCGTTCAGCGCCCACTTCACTCACTCTGCTTATCCTTGAGTCCCTTGTTGGCGCTCCGCATCGCTTTCCGTGAGTGCGAAGTCTTCTTCTTGGGCACCGCGAGCAGCCATGGAGGGAAGAGCTCGAGCAAGGAGGGTAATGAGGGGATGGCCCACGTGAACGGCTTCGGCGCAGCCAAGAAAGCAGGGATGAAGGCGGCCGCAAACGACACGCGGGCGAGGGGTGCGCTCACGGCCGAGAGCCACGAGCGGGATTGATGCAGAGCGAGCGCGGCCGCCATAGTGGTCGAGAGTGAAGAACGGACTGGACTGTGGCGGAAGACAACCGTCCGCTGCAACTTGCAAGACTACAAGAGCGGCGGGCGCCTCGCGAATTGTTGGCTGCCGGCGCATCGGGCGCCTCTCTCACTGCAGTCACCACCACCTCCGCCATGTTCCGCCTCACGCGCCCTCTCTTCAACGCGGCACGGAAGACGACCACGGGTCTCACCGGCCTCAAGGTCCACCATGATCCCCTTCCCGAGCTGAAGAAGACCTACGAGGCGACTCTCCAGGCCCTTTCCGCCATGCCCCAATCATCCGTCTACCGCCAGGGCGCGGAGGCGCTCACGCTGCACAAGCTGAAGGTGCTGGAGAAGGCCGGCGCGGACGTCACTATCGTCGAGAAGGAGCTGGACGAGGGCCACATTGAGGAGTCTTTGGAAGTCGCGCAGGATGAGCTCAGCCTCGCGAACAAGATGCTCGAGTGGAAGGCGTAAGTACCTCCGCCCTTCGGTACTATGACGTTGTTTGACCGTTATGCCGTTGTAGGTGGGAGCCCCTAGAGGAGCACCCTCAACCCGGACAGTGGCAGTACTTTGGGAAGGAGGCGACCGCATCTACCTCATCATGATCGGTGTTCAATAGACGTATCCCATTGACACCTTCAACGCGGCATTGCATTCTCAGAGAAATGTTGCCCAATGGAGTGACGACTAGCTATGGGCTCATACGTGGGTTTGCTCTCGTACCCATCATACCACTCGCTGCGCGAACGCAAGAGGCTTCATACTGTCGCTGCTGTCTAGGCACCCGTGCTTCCCTCTAACTGGGCGTGTCCCTACTGGAGCCTGGCGAACACCGCGACCCAGGGAGGGCCGACGGATGCAAGAAAGCAGAGCCAGGGTGAATGCGCGTTCCTTCGTCCCCTTAGTACATGAGTAGTATCAGGGCGACTGTATAGGTATAATCTGCACTGTACGTACGGGCGTTGGGAAGGACGCAGCAATCCACGACGGGCAAAAAGGTCGCTGACAGCAGGATTTGAACCTACGCGGGCAATGCCCAAGTGATATTGAAACGAATTCAAATCACTCGCCTTAACGACTCGGCCATATCAGCTTGCCCAATCAGGCACTTATTACGTTTAAAATCAGTGTACTTGTGGAATGCTGCAGCAAGGGGCTCGTGCCTCTTGCCTTCCGTCCTCGACGTTCAGCTCGTCTACCCCGCACTCGTCCCCTATACCTGAGCTCTACGGTCCTCGCGCAGGACGACCCTACGACCGCGATGGACTCCCTCATTCCATTTACCACCTCCGGATCGCTCGTGGATTGCGTCGATAGTACGTCTGCCCAAAGTCCACTCAAGGTGCACCTGAGCCCATATCCCTTGCCGCTCCTCGCCCCGGTCGACGTGCCCTTGTCTCTGGTTAGGAAAGATGCTCGTGGTTCTACGTGACGGTCGGAAGCTACAGGGCGTCCTCCGATCCTATGATCAGTTCGGTGAGCCCGCATACTGGCTTGTCGGGGCGTCTGTGGCGGAACAACTGACGGAACTGCGCACTTCAGCTAACCTCGTACTTGAGGACACTGTGGAGCGCATATACCACCAAGACGTTTTCGCCGAGATGTGGCGAGGCCTCTTCCTCATTCGAGGCGAGAACGTCGTGCTGCTGGGGGAGATCGTACGTACACCCAACTTCTGCTCTCCGGGATGTCCATTCAGTAGACATTCCGCGTTAGGATCTTGACCAGGAAGACGAAGTACCCCTACGGCAGGTTGAGTGGAGTGTCCTAGAGCCGTATCATAAGCAAGAGATCGCCAACAAGAAGCACCGAGAAGACGTCAAGTCGCAGGTCCTATACGAGCAGAAGGGGTTCTGCAAAGAGGGCGGAGAGGGCGACGGATACTGATCCTCCTCCGTGCGGTACCTCCGAGTTGCCAGCACGCTGCCCAGACACCGTTCCCCGGGATAGACCCTACCACAGGCAGATTCATTACGCCAGAGGGTCATCCGATTTGTTGTATTTATGTCCTCCTTGTCGTCGCGTTCATTGCTGGTATTGCAGATGCAGAACTGAGGGATCTAATTGATGTACACATCGTAGTGTGGCAAGCAACCTAGACATATTGACAATGCTATAGCGTACGCGTAGGGAGAGCATCCGAGCACAACAGTGGGGGTATGTATGGTACATCATTTCTTCTGCTTGCCCTTCTTCGAGGTACCGTTCGTCTTGGGCTTGGCGTTCCCGTTGCCTTGTGAATGCCCGTTCAGTGGCTGAAGGGGTACACTCGGCATAGAGATGACGGATCGACGGGACTCCATGCTGATGACGTCCTCCAGCTGCCGACGGATCTCGCGTTCTTGGGTAGTGAGAGCTGACATGGCCTTCTCCTTCAACTCCTGGTCAAACTCGTATTCCGTGGCGCGCAGTTTCTGCCACCTGGTGGAATGACATCAGCACCCTCCAAGGCATGAAGTGTATGCAAACGTACCCAGCGTGTCGTTGACATTTCTTCTTGCCTCTGCACCACCAGGCACCGTCCTCGACGCCAGTCCCATCAACTTGCATCGCATCGTGGCCCTCGTGGCCCTCCTCATAGCTCTCGAGCACGCTCGCGGCATACTCGACGTACTCATCGTCATCGAGGCAGAGACGTTGGTCCCACCCACATTCCTCCACGCGCTCGGCGCGTGCGGCCGCAAGCTCGAGTACCTTCTGCCGCCAGAGGATGACCTCGAGCTCCTCTTTGAGGGCCTCCCGCTTCGGCGCGATCTTGAGTAGCTCTCCCTGAAGCCGGGTGATGGCGCGTTCCCGCTGCGACTTGGTCGGCCTCTGCAGCTCGTGCGTCTCCGTGGTGAGCTGTCCTGCGGAACGCTGGTGGGGCTTGCCAGCAGGCTTAGGCTCGTCCGTGCCGACGCGCACTTTGACGACGACGCCCTCGCGCTGCTTCATGTCCCTGACGCTGGCCCACAGCACCGCCTCGTCGCCACCCCAGCCTTCGATGCGGCGTTGCATGTAGGCGATCCCGCACTCGTCGGAACAAAACTTGGAAAATGCCCCGCGTGCTGGCTTGTGGCAAGCAGCAGCCGAGTTTGGTCTGGGATGTCGCAGTCCGGCGAAGCACCGCTGCTTGTACGTCGTCTTCAGAGGCAGATGAGGGTTGGCTGGCATAGCAAATGAGTGACGGCTGGGATCGGCAAGTTGATAGGACGCGTACCCTTTATACACGGGGGGCAAACGAATTGGTCAATGAGGTCGACCTCCAGGTCGTTCATGTTCAGGCATTGCGTGTGATACCACTCATCGCACCTATCCGCAGGTTAGCGACAGAAGCAGCAAAGACAATTGGAGGAGCGAGCATACCTGTCACAGGCTATCATCACCTTGTCTTCGTCATAGCTTGTCTTGCAGATACAATAGAGCTTGTCATCGACCGCTTCTTCTTCCTCTTCTTCCTCCTCTTCCTGAGGTTTGGTCGCCGGTTCAGGTGGCGCAGGCATGACGGACGCCGACCGTGAACGAGACTGGCCGACTGCCGCAGAAACCGACCGCTTCGCGGTGGATGCCGCTGCCACATTAGCAGCAGCCGTCTTCTTGCTCTTCGCCGTGGAACCACCACCGGAGGGCGTGAGACGACCACTGGAACCGGCAGTGCTCTCTTTCGCAGCTTTCGCCTTGGTCTTTGTCGCGGTGGTTTTCGCCTTGGGCTTCGCTGGCTGCTTAGCCTTCTGTGCAGGCTTTTTCAGAGGCGTCAGTCAACCTATGATGTTGCGTGATTAGGGATGCAAAGTACCTTTGCGGCCGGTTCCTTCTTCTTAGAACTCGACGTAGCAACCGCCCCCTCTGCCTTCAGAGGTTTGGCCGGTGCGGACAGAGGCTGGCTGGCCGCGGGCGTCTTCGACGCTTGGTTGGGAGGGGCAATGGGCGGAGGCATGACCACCCGTTCGGACGGCGCAGCAGGCGCAGGAGTAGAAGAGGTGGAGAGGGTAGCTGGTACGGAGCTCCCGGTGGTTTTCGCGACGGGGACATCCTTGGTTTGGTGTTTGTCCAAGCGGGTTGACTCAGAGGACGCATGGGTCGCTTTGGTGGTGTGCGTATCGTGGTGCGGCTTAGCGTGCGCTTGCGTCTCAGTGTGCGAGTGTGTATGGCCGTGCGAATGCGAATGTCGAGGTTGCTCGTCCAAGAGGCTAAGTAGTTCGTCGTCTAGCTCGGTAGAGTTTGACGCGACTGCCTCTCTGGCCGTGGGCCCCGATGCGCTGGCAGCGAGATCGAGTTCCATGGCCAGATCGGCGTCCACGCTGGGAGACGCCACCTCGCTGGGGATAACGCGTTCTCCTGGTGTATCGCGATCCAGTTCTTCTTCCAGCAGAGCCAGCGGCGTGGGGCTCCTAGATCGATCCTTCGCCGTTGTCACCTTCCGAGGGGGTTCCTCAGCCGGCGCTGCGGAAAACGCTCGTGCCTCCTGCGCTTCAGGCTTGACCTGTGGCGGCGGGGATCCATCTGAGGGGGCAGGCGAGTCTGGAGGCGTCTCTGCGAGGGGAGACGCCTGTCGAGAGCCGGAAGCTGGGGTGTCGGTTGCATAGTGCTCCAACAACCACTCGTGCGCGTCTTGCTCCGCCGGAATCGACACAACCGCAGCCACGGCGCCATGCGAGCCGCCAGTCTGGACATCTTGCATTTCGCTCTCCGTGAACTCGGGCGCCAGGGGGATTGTCTCCGGTGTCTCTTCCCTCTTGAGTGACTCCACGGGTTGAATGTCCTCTGTCTTCACGTTGACAGCCGACGCCGCTGCGATGCCCTCAAGGGATTCGGCCTCCAAGCACTCTTCTCTCGTAACACTAGCCGTGATCTCCATAGAGTCTTGCGGTAAGAGCTCATTCGCTTGAGTTGGCGGGGAGATAGTTGGTGAGCTCATGAAGACTTGGTTCTCAGGTGCTGTTGGGTTGTCATGAAGAACACTGACTGCGACCTCCTTTGAGGGTTCAATGGCCGACGCGGCAGGGTCAGGAAATTCTGACACTAGGAGTTGTGATATGCTGGTTGGCTTGAACAAGGAAGGGACGGGTACAGGAATCGGACCAGTCGGAAGTGGAGTGTGTGCATGAATCGAGGGACTTGGAGGTGGGGGCGGGGACGGTGATGGGCAACGTGCTGGCCTAATCGGAGGCGGAGATATTGAGCGTTCGGGGGGCGGTGAAGGGATAGGAGGAGAATCGTGTGTGGCCGCATATACCGGGCTGAGTGGGACCGCAGAGCCGTCGATGACTACCGTGGTGGGATCAATGATGGGGGAAGGAGGAGCGGACAGTAAGTTCTGAACGAGCGGAGTTGACGAAGGAGCCAGAGCCGTGGCTGACGAGGTAGCCTCAGCATTTGATGTATGCTCTTCGTCAGGCGCTTGGACAAAGCTTGGAGGCGTGGTGGGCGGAGGCGCAAGGGGATGTACATTGGGCGAAGTTGAAGACGACGGGATCGACTGGATAGCGGCAGAAGCTGCCAGATTGGCAGACGTAGAACTACCCGTTCGCCTACGCTTCTTCGCGGGAGGTTCGCCGTCATGAGAGGGTGGTTGCCCAAGGGAGATGAAGGCCAAGGAGTTGACCCGTGCATCAAGGCGGGGAGAGGGTAAGGGCGGACTTCTTTGGAGCACGGGTGAATGAGATGTTGGAGGTAGTGGGGGAGGATGCCGGTTGAGGATTGGGCTCATGGAGGCCCTTCGAATAGACTCTCTCCTCTCCAACGGTGTCGGCAGCTCACCGCTCAGCCGTCGCCTCTCCTCTGTCGCAGCTTGAACCAAGGCCTCTAATGCACCCAAGCCTCCCGGGCTTCCCTGAGACCCGAACGCGAGTGCCGGAGATCTTGGCGGTTCTGCATTGAGTAGATTGGGCAATGCTGTGGCTGAGGATGTGCGATGGATTGAGACCGGTGGGGAAGCCAACTCTGTATGGGATGCTGAACGAATGCGGAACGGACTTGCGCCAAAGGTTTCTTCAGTTCGTTGGGGAGGAGAGCCGGAGTGGGAGATGGCCGGAGGACTTTGGGATAAGCCGGGAATCCGTTGCGGAAACGGCAAATGTGGCTGGTTGTCGTCGTGCGGTGTGGACATTGGGC